CCCCCCCCCCCCCCCCCGTCCTCCCCTCCCTCCCCTGCTTAAATCCAGCACCAGTCCAGCCCTGCTGGCCGGGGAATTCTGAGTGTGTCGTCCACCCTTCTTAAAAGTTGCCAGGTTGAGAAACCCTGGACGAGCCCCTCCGCGCACCTGAGGAAGGGAGCCGCGGCGCCGGCACCTCCGAGCAGCGCTTGTTCACAGCGAAGGGGCTACCAGGCTGCTCCCGAGCAGGCCGCAAGCGCCCCAGAGACCCCCTGGCCTTGGCTTCCTCCAGCCGCCCAACTGGCAGCTTTCCCAACCCGCAGCTGGCTCCGAGCCTGGCCTGCAGCCGCTGACGTGCCCGATCCTTTGGTTGGGACGATCGAAAAGGAGGGAATCTCTGCAAGCGGATCCGTGCTGTGCCACGGGCCTGCTCCAGCGCCCGAGTAATTGCCCAGCGAGGGGAACTGCTGCAAAGGCAGAGAGAAGCCGACCGTCTTCCAGCTATTTGTTCTGAAGGACGGAGGGACTGGCGAGGGGGCTCTCCTCTGCAAGCGGCCAGGCAGCCAATGGGTCCTTTCCCAGGTGCCTTCCGAGAGCGAAGAGGGAAGGGAGGAAGGCTGGGGGGGTGGGGGAGGAAGGAAGTAAAGGCAGCGACTTGGGTGGCCTCCCGATCACTTGCCTGGGTGCCTTCGGGGGGGGGGGGTTGCTGGTCATGGCTGAGCGGAAGAAAGGGAGAATAATTGGGGCAGATGCTGCTTCTCTGGCCGGTGAAGAGAAAAACTCCACCTACAGAAGACCTTTTGCAAATCTGCCAAAAAGGGAGGCTGTGAGTCTGTCTTCTGGGCAGCGGGGCTCCCTTCATCCAGCCCGAAGCTCCTCTGCCAACCGCCAACCTCCCTCCAAGCTCGCTGGCACTCTGGAGCCCCCTGCTACAGCGGGCGGAGCAGACTCTGCAGAGGACCCGACTGGGGAAATGTTCCGCGTGAACTTGCTTTCGTTGATTTAAAGTGTATTTATATCGAGAGAAAGCAGGGTCTCTTTTCCCCAGCCCACTGCTCTGCTGCAGGACTTTGCATTAATATCCGATACGCTGATAGACAATTTGAGACCGGTCACTCCTCCCGCCCGGCAGAGACCCCCCCATGCACTCCCCCGCTCTTTCCTTTGTAAGGTTGCCAGCCAAGAATCTGAGAGGACAAACCATCAGGGAACCGAGAAAACAGAAACAAATCGGCACATTTCTAAACCCCCAATATTTCCCTCTAAGAAAAGGAAGAATATGTGACCGTTCACTGTTTTATACACCAAAGCTGCCCAAACTCTCTCTCTCTTTTAATGGTCAGGCAGAACAAGCGTGTTCCTTTTCACCCCATCCGTTCCTAACATGCCAGAATCCAAACAAGGGGGGGAAACTGGGGGGGGGGGGAAGGCTCCCTTCCTTCTCAGTGGCAGAAGTCAAAACTCACGTGTGCCTACGAAAGGGCGCTCCAGAAAGTTCACGGGTCAAAAGCTTGCATTGATTGGGCTGCCTAGTCATGATCTGAGGTCCCAGCCCCTCCGAAGGGACCACTTTTCTTGCACAGCTACCTCATTGGTCTTTGATGAGCAAGGACATTAAATGCGCTTTGCTAGGCTCCACCTGGGATATTTAACAGCCTCCTGAAAAATCACAGGCAAATGCACTTACACGTGTGGAAACTGGCCTTGCTTCCAGATAAGAAAGCCCTTTTAAAGTGTGTCTGAGAGCCTGTGCTGAGCAGAAATTCTGCAAACTTTTTTTTCCCAAGTTGGAGCAAAAGAGCCGCCTTCAGCTTCTATCAGGGTAGCACCATGGTTAAAATGTTGGACTTGGACCTTGGGGAAAAAAAACAGGTTCAAGTCCACATTCTACCATGGTGAGTCCCAGAAGGGAGGAAGGAAGGGCCCAACCCCCTATTCAGTGCAGGGATCAAAAATAAAGCACCCCTGTGCCCATAGATGCTTTCCAGCCTCATCTTGAATACATCCAGGGATGGGGACCCCTCCACATCCCATGGTCCTTGACTTCCAGTTGAACTGCTCTTACTGTAGAAGCTTTGCTCTAACATCCAGTCCCAACCTGACTTCAGAATCACAGACTCCTACACATAGAAGGGTCCCCTGAGAGCACCTACTCCAGCCCTCGCGCAAAGCCACAGATTTCTGGGTTGATGTAATCAAAGAACTGGATCTTCTGTCTTTGCTGGTCAGCAGATTACAAGCACCGGACATCCCCTCCTGATTCCAGGCACTGCAACGTTCTGGGACTACCTGGGTCTGGTGGCAGAACGTTGCTGGAGTGGAAAGGAGGAAGGACATGTCACTGTTATCCCTGGCAAAGAGCGCGAGGGGAGCTGGCAGATCCACAAGTGCTTTGGATGAGGATCTTGAACTTTAAAGGGTTGCAGTAATGGGGAAAACCCACTGAAGCCGGTGATGGAATCCTCGTGGGAAGCAAGCCCATCAGGCTCTAAAGAGGCAGGGTCCAACCTGGGGCCAGGATGGACTCTTTACCCCTGTGCCCAACCAGAGCATGCCAGAAGTGACTGGATGAAGCTGGATCCTGAAAGCAGGGAGGGCAAAGGAACACATGGAAGCCGGAGTTTGAGCAAATCCTTATTAAATGGCTCAGATACAGATTAACTTCCCAGTTACATCTATCAAGGTTTTGCACGGCATTTATCAGCTGAGTAGAGCAGACAAGGAATTTGGGTCCAGAAGGACACGTCAGCGGGGAGCTGGTGGAATCTGCCGCCGATGCCAAACCCCGGGACATCCCCGCTCTCTGTTCAGCGACCACCTCTGGGCCCACCTGGGACAATGGTGGGGCTCCCACAGGGCAAGACTGCCGCAGGAGTCGAGTGACAGGGCAGTAGGGGGGACTCCAGGGAGTCAGTCAAGCTCCTGATTACAAGTGCGCGTGTCCCTCCTACCCCAGAGTAACGGGGAAGGGCTGGACACATGTAGCTTCAGGTCATCTCCCTTTGCTTTGTGCCTGTCAGGCGCACCAGACTTCAACTCCCAGATTTACCATTTCAACTGAAGTTTAGCCCATCTTGGGAGCAGCAGGCTGGGGCCCTCCAGCTTGATGGACAGAAGTCTGCCGAGAGTGGGGGACACTGGCCTCACCAAAGATCCCGCATTTGAGACTAAATACTGCACATAAGAACCAGGCAGGGCTTTGATGGCATTGTCGTGGGCACCATCCGGACTTTTTTGACCACATCCCGTGGACGCCTTTGTCTCTCCAGGCATGGGATCCTTTTTCTTTCACACTGAAGAGTCACAGAGAGGCTCTGCAGGGGTAACGTCTATCCTCTCTTCTAAAAACAAAGACGTTTCTTGGGGCGGGGGGAGCCACAACAAATCAAGAAGCCAGTTCCACCTCCCCTTGGAGATTTATGAAGACCCTCTGCCACCTCGACAGCCTGGTCATACATTGCACTTAGCTGTGGTCTGTTTAATCTTGCCAACTATCTCCATTTGCACCATTTGGCTAGAAATCTTTCCTTGCGAATTGCAAAGACTGGATTCACCCAAAACAGTAAAGCATAAGCAAACACGTGACTTTGTCTGAACTTAGTGTGAACGTACACAACCTGTAGGACCAGGAGCACAGTATTCACTTACCTTACAAGGCTGTGGTAAGAACCTGAGTAAGGGAGGTCAAAATGCAACTTGCAGGCCCTTAGTATCTACTTCCACGCCACGAACCAACCATTGTCAGTTCCAACCAACTTCTGATGTGCAACGGTTTAAAGCCTCCTTCCCTGACTGGACATCCTTCGGAACAGTGTGCTTTCCCAGGTTAGCTGGGAATGACGGGTTCAGCACCTTTGGAGGGTACCAGGTCAGGGAAAAGGGTTTTACGAGGTCTTTAATGTCACATTTCAGAAGAGCCTCTGCTCATCCTGCCTGGATTTGCCTCACCCCGGGAGAGCCAGGGTTGTCCTGGGAGGTCAGAGGGGCCCCTGCACCCAGGCCCGCACATCCATGGGTCACAAGCCAGCGGACGTGGGTCTGACCTAAGAGCAACCCTGCCGATGACATTACAAGGGTGGCTTGTCTCGGAGATAAAGGGTGGGAATGATTAAGGTACAGAGAGGTGGGGGGCACCAGCAGAAACCTCTGGCAGGCAGAAGAGAGTTCAGCTTGGCAATTCCTGCGTTTGGGAGGCTGCCCAAAGCTGCAGTGGGCCTCGGCAGAGGGGGCTTCCAGACTCCATCTCCCTCACCCCCGAGGCAAATGGCAAGACCATCATTTATGAGACCGTCCCAAGAGCAAATGAGAGCAAATCCACACTGCACCTGAAAAGACCCCACCACACACAAAATCTATCCTGGGGGGGCTGAAACTCCACGCTGCTTTTGCAGAGGGTAACCTGCACCTTTCACCTAGTCATCCGGTGCTGAGCAGAGGCACTGAAGAGGCGGCTTCCACAAGGCAAGATGGATTTTGCCCTGCGTGGCCCTGATCCTTCGGGAAGACCAGCCAGCGAAATTTTCTCCTGGATTTCGCAGGCTACCATGGCCTCCCCTTGGGCCCCCACCTCCCGTCCCAGCCCTGTCCTCGCCTGGTGGTGAGCTTTCCTCCGACCACGGCCCGCGCAGCAGGGCAGAGAGACTGCCTGGCCCACGCGCGAACGCCACAGCCTCTCCAGGCCGAGGGCGACTCACCGCTAAGCGCGGCTCCGCTGACTGTGACAAACTGCAGGACGGGAGATCGATCTCCAGCCATAAAAGTCAGGAGGCATGAAGGAAAAATTAGTGCTAATCGAAGGCGCTATAGACATCAATTCCTCCCAAGGAACCGGGGCGAGAATTTAAGGCCCACTGAAAAGAAACAAAACTCAGCAATCCAGAATGGATGGCCGAGGGCAGACAAAGGCGCCCGAGCAAGAAGCAGAAGGGGAGCCGGGAGAGGATTGTCACAGACACAATTACGGTCCCTGCTGTGAAAAGGCCGTGAAAAGTCAAGGCTCAGCGTAGCCCAGAAGGGAGCCTGAAGAGGCAGGGCGGCTGAAATATGCCAGCCTGAGCGGCTGGTCGAGAGTGGTTTAGGCCAAGCGCTCCTGGGAAGGCTGGGGGGGGGGCGGTTAATGACCCATCCGAATAATTAAGCCCCCACCCTATTCTCCCTTCAACAAAGGCCAGGACCTCCCGAGCCAAGGGGACCGGCAAGGAGGGAGGCGGAACTTCGGCCTTCATGCCAACAAGGGCACCATGATGCCAAAAGCTTCCGGATCGCATCCTCTGCTCCTGGCCTGGCATGTGGGTCATCCCCCTTTGCAGCTAGGGTGGGGGGATTCTGGCCAGCCCCCAACAGACACCAATCCTGGATGTCTGCACTGCCAGACTGGGAAGGGAAGGGAAGGGAAGGGAAGGGAAGGGAAGGGAAGGGAAGGGAAGGGAAGGGGAGGGAAGGGAAGGGAAGGGGAGGGAAGGGAAGGGAAGGGGAGGGAAGGGAAGGGAAGGGGAGGGAAGGGAAGGGAAGGGGAGGGAAGGGAAGGGAAGGGGAGGGAAGGGAAGGGAAGGGGAGGGAAGGGAAGGGAAGGGGAGGGAAGGGAAGGGAAGGGGAGGGAAGGGAAGGGAAGGGGAGGGAAGGGAAGGGAAGGGGAGGGAAGGGAAGGGAAGGGGAGGGAAGGGAAGGGAAGGGAAGGGAAGGGAAGGGAAGGGAAGGGAAGGGAAGGTCCGTCATGGGTGGCTCGCTTCCTTTCTCTTAGATTTCACCAGAGTTGGGGCTGGAGGAAAGGTGCTCAAAGGAGACCGAGACGTTGAGGAGGAGGGCTTTCAGCAGAAGTGCAGTAAAGTTTCCTGCCTTTCCTGGGCAGCGCGGGGGGCGCAGATGCGTTGTAGACCAGCTCTCCCACCGGCAACTGGCCAGAGTTGCCAGGAGTTGGGCAGCGTGTAAATTTAATTAATTTAATTAATTAACCTCCCAGTTGCATCGGACCACAATTCTAGGGTCTGCCACCAGCACAATCCATGGCAGCGGACTGAAAAAGGCGGCTGAGCAGGAACTGAGGCTCAAGGAAGTGGGTGCCTCTGAATAAAGCATGTTTGTCCGAAAAGCGGCTACCAGCCCCTTCTTGCTTTTCGGCTACTCCCGTTTAGCACAGCTCTCCTGCGATGCTTACAGGTTTGCCCATCCTCTCTCTAGCTGCCCGTGCGAAAACAGCCACAAGGAATAGAAACAGGTTTCCGAGCACCTCTCCCACGCGCGTGCCTATGGCTCTTCGCACATACGTCCCTCTGTGTGTACATGTCTGTGTGCGCGCCCACTGGCACCCAAAGTCCCACACGTGGAGGCGCATCCAACTTTCCACGTTTCCTTGTGGCACTGAAGAACAGGGTTTTGCTTCCAAAGCTTTATTTCCAGTCTACCTTCTCTGGAACGACGACGCTCAGAAAAGAAAGACGTTGATACAGGAAGCGAGTAACAGGCGGGCGTTCAGACACCCTTCCAAAGCATTCAGCCAAGAGCAAAGCCGCAAAGGTGATGCAACGCCAGCTGGGCGCTGCTGAGCATGGGAGGGGTGGCCGGCGCCCCGCGGGCTGAGCACAGCAGCTGGCCTCCCTCGTCTCGGCCACGGCCCGGGGCTGCCCCGCCCAGCGATGGCGCAGCGAGGGAGGAATGTTCTGCCAGGCCAGGCCCAGCGCAATCCCCGACCTGCCTGCCCGCCCGGTCTTTGCAGCCTGGCGCTCCAAGAAGCAAAAACAGGTGTGACCTCAAAACTTTGGTATCTATTTTTCCACCATTTATTAACCTCTCACCTTTTATCTGGGGGGCGCCCAAAGATGCATAAACATGTTTCATCGAACCGGGGCCAAAGGTCGCCTTTCAAGCGGAGACAATTGCGAAGTCAGTGGCAGAGGAAGAGCCGAGCCCTCCGTGATCGGCGAGTGCCCCGGCCTTTGATAATACTCCCCCGGCCGCCAACGGGGGGGCCAGGGGCGGCCAAAAGAGTGGCTTTTCTTTCTCTCTTCTTGCCTTTTGCTACAAGGAGGCCGAGTTGGGGGGGTGTACAACCCCCGCCCCCCCCACG